AACTTCTTGACTTGGAGGGTGCCCGAGCCCTGGCCCAGGCTGCCCAGGGGGGCTGTGGAGTCTCCTTCTCTGGAGATCTTCAACCCCCGCCTGGACGCTGTCCTGTGCCCCCTGCTCTGGGTGAGCCTGCTTGAGCAGGGGGGTGGGACTGGGTGAGCTCCCAAGGTCTTTTCCAACCCTTGCCATTCTGGGATTCTGTGATTCCCTCTATTTTTACGTGTGGAAGAAGTAGCCCTATATAAGAGATTCCAACTATAATTGGTTAATTTACCAAGGACTAATTCCAATATAATCATCAAACAGATGCTAGCTGTTAAATGAGGGGATGGAGAAGGAGAGGGAAGAGGATAGGAGGGGACTGGTGTTCAGGATGCAGTATATTGCTCCTAAGAGCATATACCGTAAATATGAGAAGGCAAACACACACAGGCTGTCAAAAAGGAACTGCCTGAAGACAAAACTGTTCTCCAGCACCACATGGAGTCAGCTGCATTATTCAAACTCTCTTATCACCAAAGCAAGAGCAACAGAGGAAACACTGAAGGGGAAAATAACATGAGCTTTCCTAATAACTTGGTAACTAAGGTTTCTTTCTTTCAGGTGAGGAAGTTAATGGGAGATGTTTAGAGAGCACGTTGGCATTATGGAGATGGAAGCATGTCTCTGAGCCTGGCTCATCCCCTGAGGAATCTCTGTGCGAGTGCTTTCAGTAACAAAATCAAACCAGAGGATAAAAAGAAGAAAAAAGAGGAAAGAAAAAAAAAAAAAAGCAACTGGGTGTAGGCAAGATCTATACATCCCCTCACCCTTCACATTCTAAATTGTATCAAGCTATGCAAACAAGCACCTGGCCCAAGTTACTTGAAAGCAGGAAAACATGTTCCTTCTTTAAGGCTTTCTGCGGATGGCAACACCTGTCTCAAAGATGGGCTTGATGCAAAAGGAGAGATGAATCAACAAGACAAATCCTTTCCATATTTCAGGATATTTGTTTTTAGTATTTCCTGGCTCCCGGAGGAAGAAGTCCTGGCAATGCAGAAGCCATTACGAAGGCAAGCCCACCGTACCGATCGAGGCTGCAGGTCATCTTGGGAGTGCGGCTGAGCAGAAGCAAAATCCACTGCAGCAAAACTACGCTGTGAATATTGCCCCTGGGCTGTGATTTCCTGAGGGATAACCCAGGGTACCCGCTTCTTACTGACCTTCGGTGGGACTGGAGTCATGAACAGCCTCAGACTATGCCATTACCATTAGAAAGGGAAGAGGGCTGCAGAAATTACCCATACTGATCTTTCAGGAAATGCTCCACTTCAAACTTGAATCAGCTCACTACCAGATACTGCCAACTCGAGATACACGCCAACTCAAGAAAAGATACTAGCAACATCTCCTGTTTCTGAGTAGCTTGTTAATCCTAGATAAAGCTCTTTCAGATTTCAAGTAGGAAATCATAACCACAACAGCCACGATAACGCAGCGGCCAGTGCAGAACTTCTCACATTTACCTTCCCAAGATCCATGCTGCCCGGGCTGTACCGCTGTTGCAGCCTGGCTCAGGCATTTCCACACAAAGGTGAAATCCTTTGGGGTGAAATTTTTGCCTCTGAGGAATAATAAAAAAAAAATAAATAACCCCAGGAGTTCAACAGCTTAAATAGGTTGCCTAACATGATCTTACTCTTAGGACAACCAGGACCTGGGAGGTCCTGTAAGGGGACCTGGCTGCAGAGATTTAAGCAAGTGGGCTTGAAGCAATTACGTTGTTAAAACAAGACACAGACTGTCCAGATCTATGTCTGGTTACAAGTGGAGCACTCACCCTTCATCAAAGCTTTCATTCTTGACTTACAGATCTCTGTGTCTGAAAGCAATAGAATATAAATGGATGGCTGCAGACCAAATTAACAAAATCACCAGAAATGAGCATTAGAAAAACATTTTTTGTGCAAGAGAAGAAAATCCGCAGAAGACAGCACGTACAGCAAGGTTATTAAGACTGCACTGTCTAGCTGATTTTTCCCGTATGTCAAAAGGATCAGAAAGGCAGTGCAACACCGAGCACAGTGGAATACTGGACTCAGCTGGAGCTTCGTAGTGAGTTAGAAGCCCTGCCTCTTTCCAGGCACCTTGCAAAATGCCTTCAATTTGATGAGGGTTTGATGGTGACTGCAGAAAAGGAAGAATTCTGTGGGGGTGTACACTTGTTGACAGAATTTACGTGTCACTGCCCTGGCTACAGGTGTGGGCACACAGAACTGCTGCTGCCTGCTTCGCCGTGCTAGCTAGGAGGTCCTCATTTCTTCCAACAACAAGTGACGCTAAATCATTAAGCGTCCCGTCAGCTTTAAGATAAATTATGTCCTTTTCTTTGACAAGCTATGGTAGGAATAAAATGCTCCAATATTATACCACTTTGAATGGAGAAGATAACACACTATTGGACCACCACATTATAGACTTCTCACCGCGTTTCTGCGAGAGAAGTAGTGTTAACCCCAGCTTCCTAGCCAGAAGCCAGCCCTGATAATTATATTTCACCCATCAAGCTTCCCCTGCAGTTTTGACTGGCAGCACCATTTTAATCCATTTCTTTACTTGTACTGCACTGGAACTGTGTGCTGTTCAAGAGCATGCCTGGGGGCTGTGAAACAGCACTTGGGTTCCGCCCCAAAGGACTGCATTTCGGTGTGAAACACGGATGTCTTCTGCACGATGCACGTGGAGGAAGTCGATAAAGAAGTGTGGAACTCATTGTAACTGTTGACTCAGTTCATTCCATCATACTCAACGCTGTTTGTTTTTTCAACTGAAGTCCTACCATCACACTCACTACTAAATCTTTCCCAGGAAGCAGTGAAAGCCTATCAACCCTGGCGTGTTAGAAAAGAATCTAACGTTCTTCTGATACCCCCAGTGATTCCCACCCAGCCACTTCCAATGCGTGACAGTACAAACAACAGCGTACTGCGCGCGTCAGCTACTCTACGCTGCGGTAATGACACGTGCAGCCCATTCGTTCTGACAAAAAGTTTCCTTCTGTGCTAGAGAAGGTTACCCAGCGTTGCTAGGCACCTGCTAAGAAAGAGATATCTTGGAACTCGTTTGCGGAAATTAAGCGTTCCGTTCACTGTGTCAACACTGCTCACTCTGGCCGCTGGACTTCCAATCTGAAGCCCCAGTACAGGCACAAAAGCAAACTTCACGCCAGTCCATTCTGCATGTTGTAAGTAAATTCAAGTGACGGAAGAGCAATTAGTGGGAAGATGGCTGGGCTCTCGAATGCAAGCAAAACTTAAGCTCCCCATACAGAGCCAAGCAGTGACACCGACACCAGGCCAGTGAACATTTACAGTGCCAGGAGAGCCTTGTTTTCTTCCCATTATTGCTCCCGGTCTTCAGTGAGTCCTTGGATCAATTGCTTCAGCTCTCCATGGCTCGATTTCCCTTTTTCTCCTCTACACAACATTTGCTTATGTTTTTCACTTAATTATGGCAAGGACTGCCTTTTACAGCACTCAGCAGACATCTTAGCAAGCTCACGCAGGCATTCAGCCAGCTCCAGGAATCAGTCTGTTCAACATTCATGGCTG